CTGCAATGAAAAGTCGTCAGCACACTGGTCTTACTTGGAAAATGATAATCTCTTAAATTGCTAGTTTTTTTCTTCCAGACTACCGGATGGTGGACGTATGAGCTATGTTACAACAAGCATGTGCAACAGTTCCATTTGGATGGTATTTTTTTTTTTGTCCTCTTAGTGATTTCTGATTTTTGGATTGATTCTTCCTCCTGGCTTCAAGCTTTGTAAATTTCTAGGCGCAAAAATCGTGGGCAATGTAATTTCGCTAGGATTCTATAACAACAGTTCGAAGATGAACTTGTCGCAGCACAAGAGTGAAAAGCGTGCCTATTTCGAGCAGATCTACGACCAGGGGGCACTCTGTGATGTGACGCACAAATCGAGGACCACACGCGTTTGGGTATGTTTGTTCATATTTGTTACTGTGATTTTCCATTTACCGCTGATATGGGATACCCACGCTGATAGCTAGGCCGGCCTTGGTGTTCCTTATATTTGGAGTATTTGGACTTGCCGTTGCAGTTTTTATTTCATATTACTAAAATTTCGCAGGGCCAGTGTAATTAAGCAAGCGAGCGTCTTCGCATTAGCAGCTCTCGCGCTTTTGCTTCTTAATGAATGACTTTTGCGCATAGAGTAATGGAGCAGAATGTCAGTACTGAGAGATATAAAATCATTGGCAGATTCAGGGCAGAGACCCCTTTCCACCCTGGAACTGTGCAAAAACTAGGAATAGAGTTGTAGCACAGCTGCTTAGAGTTACTTTAGTTTAGAGTTATTTTAGGCTTCAGTTTATTTTAGTTCTAGCTGTAGACCTTGGCTGTTGCAGCACTGGTGCCTGTTTCGCTGGGTAGGAGTAAGGGCGAAAACCCCTTGCCTCTTGCCTGGATCTCCCATGTATAAAATATGCATCGCTTGAAACGGCTTTTATTTCATCTGTTGTGTTTTAAAAGCTTCCCTTATTCCCTTTTCATGAGAGGCAGAGGCATTTGGAACTCGAATGACAGCCATTGCTAGTAGCACCCATTTGCTGGCAGAGCAGTTAGCGAGTCCTTTTGCCTAGAAGAGAAGCAATGTGATGGCAAGTTAAAGTCCTGCCATGCGCCAGTACCAATTTATCATCGAAACGGATGAACGACTCTTTTCCGATCGACGGATTCGAGCCATCGACTTTTTCTGCCATAACCGTCGTGGTTTTTTTTTTTTTTTCAGTATATGTGTGATGATTTCCTGTCCACAAGTGAAGCGTATATCAGCGACGTGGATGAGCCCTCCTCATGCGAATACATTGTGACTGTGAGAACGGGATCGCTGTGCAA